CCCCAGGGTCCAAAACAAAAGCCGGGTCTGCGGGGGGGGGGCACCCTAGCTACGCCCCCCCCCCAGCAGACCAGGGACATGGGGAGCAGAGCCGCAGCGGCAGTGGGGTGCCGCGCCTCTGAGGCTTTGCTCTGGCAAAGCCTCAGAAGCGCGGGAACGCGCCCGGTGCCCCTGGTCTGCTGGAGACGGTCTCCACCAGGGGCACCGGAACAGCTTACGAACGGGGCTTTCTCGTCCTGACCTCCGGGGCGAGAAAGCCCTGTTCGTAAGTGCGGATCCGACATAAGTCGGATCCGCGTAAGTCGGGGACTGCCTGTACACAAGGAAGCGTAGGAACTTAACTTGATTTACAAGTTTGGAACCCCTCACAAAAGTATGAATAAAGACATTGCCTGGCTAGCACATGACTTTCCACATCCTAATGACTTAACCAACCAAACATGGGTATTTAAGAACAATTTGTACCTTCATGTAACATGAACACCCCAATTCACAATTTTTTCACTTCCTTCTTCCCTCTCCATCCCCTACTGATTTTGCAACTGGACTTTTAATACTCCATTCATCTGAAGAAGTGTGCTGTACCCACAAAAGCTCATGATATTATCTATGTTTCATTAGTCTTTAAGGTACTGCTAGACTATGTGTTGTTTTTTAAGTTTTTCCAGTTACAGACTAACTCCTCTGAAGCTTATGAATAAAAATTGTTACTGTCTGACAATTATTTAGTAGCTTATGTGAAATAAGTTGGTGGCTTCAGTCCAGTTCCTCCTGGACTTGACAGCCACATCTAAAAAACACACCCTCACAATTAAAACCCTGTTGGCAGTCTTGACAGAAAGGCAAGGGACTAAGTGAGCTCTAAGAACAAATAAGCATTTTACTCCTAGAGGTGAAACAGCTGGTGAGAGTGGAGTGCATTGATAGCAGACAGTGCCTGGAAAAATTTGCATAGACTCTGATATACACAGGGTTGTCAATTCAGCACCTTCCATGAGCATACTGCTGCACTGAATAGCATGTTCCATTTAAGGTCCCAGTAGGTCCTGTTGGGAGCAATTTGCCTACTCAGATTCTATGCTGGGTAGAAGCATTTATAAAGCAATCAGAAGTCTTAAACCCAAAGACTAATTAAAAAAGCAGCAAAGTTTGGTAGTTTACTAGGGTATGTCTACACTACAAAGTTAATTCGAACTAACAGACGTTAGTTCGAATTAACTTTGATAGGCGCTACACTAGCACTCCGCTAGTTCGAACTTAATTCGAACTAGCGGAGTGCTTAGTTCGAACTAGGAAAACCTCATTTTACGAGGATTAAGCCTAGTTCGAACTAGATAGTTCGAATTAAGGGGTGTGTAGCCCCTTAATTCAAACTAGAGGGAGGCTACCCCTCCCCAGGTTTCCCTGGTGGCCACTCTGGCCAACACCAGGGCAACTCGTCTGCCCCCCTCCCGGCCCCGGACCCC